CCATTGTTTTTGTGCAGGAATTTGAGGTTCAATTCCGCCAGCGGGATAATCATTCCCTCTGCAGTTCGTTAATTCATTTCGATGGCAAATTAATACTGATACGTGTTAGAGAATCAAGCCCTACATTAGCTTGTTTTTAAGTAACTCTTGACAGAGAAAGTCATCAACATCTTTGCTAGTGGGTGGTTGCTGTTGACATTTGCCACCGCTCGGATTTGTTCTCGGGTATCTTTGCTTCCTTCAGAGGATGAATGTGGAGGGACTTTTGAACCTTGACTTTGCTTAACTCTTCAAGATATATTCTTCAGAACATTATCACCAGCTTTCATTTGTGTGTTATTGCATTATTGAAGAAATGTAAAAATATACATTTTCTCGGGATGTCTTCAAGCCAGCTTTAACTTTAATGCAGTGTTTGAGAATGCATATGCATTAAACGAATTTTTTTTAAGCCAAGAACAATTTTCATAGGCATAGCAAAAAATATGACTCCAGGCCCCTGGAAAGACAAGCACATATGATTTACGACAGACACTCAAGTATCGCAGAAATACTCATTCCAAACGACTATGAACATTTTAGATGATGACAAATAGCGAAGCGCACAAGAAACACAATCATATGTCGTTGTAACAGATTTTTAGGAGTGTTTACAGTGGAAAAATTTTGCATAATTTTTCGGCAGGCGAAAAATTTTTGCAATTATATTATACCATTGCGCTACTCATGTTTTACTACTTTAATTACACGAATCAGACGAAATTTATGCCAAACGTATCTCATCAAAGAAAGTGAAGTAATGGTTTGCAAGCCATCAGGATTTTGAATTTATAGTTTGCTGATAGGTCCGAAATCATAACCAAAAAATAGCTTTGGCTTGAGAGCGGATCTGAAGTCACCTGGACCGTATTGTACGATGAATAAAAATTTTAAAATTTTTCTTAATGCAGTCTCTTTTACTTGGATCTTGTACTTTGATCCGAGGTCCGAAGCCAACAGACAATAGAAATTTGCTATGATTTTTTCAGATCGAACTCTTAAACTTTTTAGTGTTTAGCTTTTTCCCCCACTCTCCCTGTCCCTGTCTCCCCATGTTCACGAAATTAAAGCAGTAATCAATTTGGAACAAGTCAGTTCTGAGGACTGGCTTCAGATTTGAGCTTATAACACAGCCGAAAGCTATATTTTGAGAATTCTAGCTTCCTGGGTTTCGAGATCCTCAAATTCTGTCACACTGGCACACATGACTGACCGCGTATATTGCGCTTTTTCTGACCAGTACAAATGCTACTTATATAAAATAGTAGCTTATTATAGCAACTGACACTGATATGTTAAACTGGAAAAAGTAATTTGTAAGCAAAGAATTGAACAGGAAATTGTTATGAAGTTGCGGTGTTAAGTCGCATGCAGCCTTTTGACTTTCTATCCAGCAGAAAAGTTTTAACTTATATTAGGAATATCAAGAGATTTCTAAGCCACTTGCACCATCGATAGCCTCATCACCGAGTGGCTGCTATTGACACTTCCGAGTGTGTACGAGAGTGAACATGGTGAGGATTTTAACTTTCGGTGTAATTTCAAGGCTTCATTAAAGTTCCTCTTTCATTTCCTACTTCCTTCCTTACCCTGCTCCTCCCTATCTTCTCCTTAAACTATCTGCTGCACTAAAAAATAGGACAAAATCCACCTGACTGAAAATCAAACTCAGCCTTATACATCTCCAGTGATTCGTTCCTTCAGCTCCTGGTGTTGGAACTCTTGGAGTTTTGAGTGCAGAAAAACACCGAATATCAAGCGACAGCTGATTTTATGAAGGATAAGGTGCGGATGCCATTAAAGTGAAAAGCTGTATGCGGGGTGTTGAGAGTGGGCTGAAAGCAGCTGTTTTAGAAGCAGCACCAAGGCGATCGCTCAAGAATGAAGAAAGAAGCATCCAGGCTTTTAGCGTATCTTTGTGCGCTCGGCCGGGTGCGATGTATTCATTGACTGCTATAACAAGCGATTCACCAAATGCATCCCAGTGCTTGCTCCTGCAAAATTGCAAAAAGCTGTAGTTTGATCCGAAAAAAGCTCTCTTTTCCTAAAAGTTGCAAGTCAAGCCAAGTGGCTTAACAATGGTCTTCATGACAGAAATCCGTTTCGTAGGGTTAGTATACAGTTTAATACGTTAATGCCAGAAACACTAAGAACGCTTGAGCGATAGTTATGTTTCCCAAGTTTGTGATGTTGCTGAAATATTCCCATAGCTCGGAAGCAGCTGTGCCAGGTTGTTGATCGTGCGCTCTATACCTTTAGTTACTACAGCAAATATTTGTCCGTGTGACTGTATACATTTTCAAGGATACCACTCGCTAATGCACAACGTCTATCTGTTTTGGAATAAACAAATAAATAAAAATACTGCATTATCACAAAATTTTTGCTATAAAAAAGCTATTTCGCTCATGCTCATCCAGTTTCTCGTTCTACCTTACGGGTTCTCGACAGTCCGACTGTAAAAGCAGATTTTAAGAGATGCCAAAAAAAGCTAGCCTAATAGCAAATCCAGCATGCCCCCTGCCGATCATTTCGAGCCAGGGTTGCAATGCCACTTCCATATCGTTGAGGTTATCAACGGTGCACTGCAACAGACCGGCGAAATGGCGCAAGTGCCGACTAAGCGAGGTCTCATCGCCGAACATCGTCTTCGCATCGCTACACCTCGTCACCATACCCGCAAAAATAGCATCGCCAATTTTTGCTTTAGGCACCCGGTTCCATGATTTCCTGGAAACACAAAGCTCTCTAAGGAGAGTTAATCTTTTAATCTTTTTCATTATCAAATGACGCAAAAAAAGTTTGGATAAGTTTGCACCAGTAAAATTTTATAGAAAGCACCATTTTTTTCTAAATGCAAAATTCTTCAGTCCAATACTTGTCCCATCACTGGTGGACTAATAGCTGTTTCAAATAACATGCAAATGAGCTGCCACGCATGTTCCCGTTTAAGCTTCCAGCTCACTCCTAGTAGCACAACGATATTTGAAAATTTTGCCAGGATTATGAGGAAGAAGAGACTCACCTTATCAGAGTTTGCTGCTCGATGGTAAGTGTGAGCTGTTGATGCGGTAACGGCGATGCTGAACGACAGCGGCGTAGTGGGGCCGATTCCGGAATAGCTAGCGTTTTTTTACTCGCCAAATCGAGACTGCTTTTTGGCTTCGGAGAACGGCTCCTCTGCAAAAATAACATCCTGGACAACAGTTCAAGCTGGATAACAGAATGAAGAATGAATAGGATTGTAGCCAGTTATCAGAATAAAACAGACATAGTATTCGGCCATAACTGCTTTTATGATAGACCGGACGAAATAAATAGCTGAATGATACTCGCGATATGTTATAAGAACAAGAAAAATAGTAAAGTTTCAGATGTACTGAGCGCCGCGAATGTGGATAGCATATGATCGTAACCGATGGGAAGGTTGTCAACTGTACAGGCAAGGATCCAAACTATGATCAAGTACTCCTGGTATTTTTCAACTACAGATGCATTCATTGCAGACTGGACGAATGCGATAATGCTCACTAAGCGCAAAACAACAATGGGAATTGTCATCAACGCGTTCCATCAATCCATTGTGATGGATGTGTGGAGCAGTATAGTTGCAAAAATTACAATATCGCAGCCGGTGGGAAAGTAATCAGGTGCACTGTTGAAAATCCAGACTATGAATTTCAGGAAATCCAGAATTCTTTTGTTAACCAGGATACGCTAGTGGTTACATCCAGAAAGAATTCCGCTTTTCGTCGCTATGAGACGACTTGGTTTAATTTGAGAAGGATGCTAGTCTGAAAAGCCTGGGCTGCATAACTCACCCGTGAAATTGAATCAGTGCTAAATGCCAACCGAAAAAAAGACGAATTTTTTTATTCTGAAAAGCAAATGATCTCTTTTCTGAAAAATTTCAGTGGTCCAAGCAGAGCAGAAGCTAACTCGAAATTGAATTGTCCGTGCTGAACTGGCAAATTTATTGGAGGCCTCGGCCGGAAGAAGAATTTATGATTTGGCCGTTACGCCTGGCTTGTTAAAAATCAGCGCTCCGGGCCTTTTGTGCTTCTAATCTGATTTTATTTCCCAACACTTCCTGAGCTCACATGTCCGCTTTATCTGCTGGAAAGAATTTTACAAATATCACAGTTAACAAAATTTGGAAAAAATATTTTGCAAGCAAAATTTTTTCGCCAGATTTCGATAACAGATTACTAGATTACTATTATCGAAATCTGGCGAAAAAATTACGCGATTATCAAAATTTAGGAAAAAGATTTCATAAGCAAATTCACGATTATCAAAATCTATAAATCACTTGAAGCTCGTGAGCATCAAAAATGCAACAAAACAACCTGGGCTACTTAGAATTGTAGCTGTTTGAGTTTTCTCTGCCTGTTCTGTAGCACATCGGCACAGTGGTTTTATTTGTTTACCATTTTTAAGGAAACGAAATGCTTCGGTGAGTTAAAACTACGGGATATACTAAGTAGAGCTGATGGCTAGTTTAACTGCTTCCTGACGAACCAGGCTAGTTTATCTTCTCTGACAGTCGCCTCGTTTCATTAGACTAAAGCACTGGCTTGTTTTTTGCCACTTCCCACTTGCTGTCTTTTTTTCCATTGTACTTGTGCTTCAATGAGAACTACTAGTTTGCATGAAACTAAGAAAGCGAATGGATTCGGGACGGAAAAATGAGTGAAAAAAAGAGCAACGATTCTGACCCGTTCATGAATTGCTAATGTTTAATCGGCGTGGCCCACAAATTGGGCGCATCAAAAACAATATTATTCTAGGATGACAAAAGTCTTTAAGCTCCAAATATACAAAAAACCCAAACCGGAATACACCAGGCTTGCCAGTGCGATCATGCGTTTTTGTATCAAACTCGAAGTAATTAGGTTAACTGTATGAACTGTTGTTTCTTCATACCTACCTTTTGCGCTCATTAGAGTAAATCATCGTAAATTTCACATAAAGGAAAAGAACAATTTCCGTTTAACGATCGTTTTTTGAAAATGACCTGTTCAATGAGTAATTTTTCCGCCGAAACTTTAAGTGTCAGTACTTGGGAATCACGCATACCTGGAGATTAAGTTTGAAACATTTTAGTTGTGCTTGAACAGGAAATATTCTTCCAAAACTTCAGTTTTCTAGTTTATGTGGTTCCCGAGTTAGTAATTTTCCCGCCAAAAATTTCACATGCTCGTATGTGAATGCTGTGCGTATCGAGTAATTGAATTTGAAACCTTTAAATTGTACGTGGACGGAAACATTTCGGCCTTCAAAAATTTACTCTGTAACTCAAAATTTGACACCTGCTTTTACTATAAATGGCAGTTATCAAGTTTTAGCTTTTGCTTTTACCGCCACCAGTCGTACTAAGGATTCTTATGAGGCAGGCTCAGCTCGGACGTATCAATTTTCTATCAAAACAGCCCATAAAAGCAAAGAAATAGAATGCACCTTCCATTACACTTAAAGTAAAATATGGGCCATACGGGCTATAAAATCCCACCGATATCCGAAGATGCTTTCGTTAATCCCAACACCGACTGTCCGGACGGCCTTGGCATTCTTGGGGTGTGCATTAACAGTTTTGTTTGAGTGCTTTGTAGAAGGGAAGTGACATAAATCTCCGTTATGTGGGTGGTCTTAATGCATACCGATGAGAGAAGATAATCGGGAAAAATAGCTCAAATGCTCATGCATTCTTAATTTCGTGTACATGTATGTGTAAAATGCATGCATAGCTGAGCTTATTAGCTACGCTGAAACCTCACGTTGGGGAAGTTTTTTTGTTAAAAACTCATAAAGAGAAGTAATTGTAACCAGAATCCACTTCGAATTTTAACTTCATATAAAATTTCACTAATTCTGGATGAAAGAACAACTTAGCACGATTTGAAAGAATTCGTTCTGGTCTGAATGCATTTTGAACCACCGATGAGATCTAGCGTACTACAGGAGGGTGAAGGCGAGGATCAAAATTGAGGGGGAGACTAGTTAGAAAAGGAAACTGGGTTCCGACCACCCCTGGTTGCCTCAAAAGAGTCAAAATAGCCCGTTTTGGAAGAAAAGATGGCAATAAAACGAACAATTGGGGCTAAATTTGGCTGTAAAAGCGAAAATTTGAGGCAGAAAAACTCAAATCTTTGCAAAAAAAGGCCCAAAGTTTTGCGGAAACAACTTCACAGTTGTTAGTAAGTGCAAAATTCGATCTAGACAGCGAATAAGCTAACCAGCAGAAGTAAATTTTAGGCCAGAATGCTAAAAGTACTCTCTAAGCAAGTAACAAGTATGCCAAGGGGACCAAGACTGCCGCATAGTGCAGGTATCCTATTTGGTGATGTTACTGGATTGCTTCTAAGCGCTGTCTGCGCAACGATGCCGGCCTCTTCGGCCCTGAGATGCACACTCACGATCCGTATCCGCATGTTTGTCGCATATACTCGAACGAATAGTTAACGAAAATTGAACAAGTATCATTTTGAGCAGGAAATTTTTTTGATGCGTCCTTCTTCAATCCACATGTACTGATGAAGTGTGCGCCTGGTTTACGGTCAAATGATGCCTTCTTATCAAAAACAGAATGTGAAATGCTGGAGAAAAAATTATATGACGAATTCAGAGGACGGAAGAATGGAGGAAGGGTCTG